TTACAGATGGATTTTTTATGGGACTTTGATGCAAATAGTTTTGTTTTTCAGATAACATTTAAAATGGCCGACTGGCAGCCATTTTGTTTTAATGAATGGGCTTCTAGACCCATATCTCCGACTTGTTTTGACTGATTATGTTCAAATTTTAAATATTCGTTATACATCATGTCATAGATAGACCATTATATTGGTTTGACGATCCTATTCAAAATGGCCGAATGTTTGTCATTTTTGTGCTAAAAAATCATCAAATATCAAGCATTTCTGGTATTTATGGATGGATTTCGTTCAAACTTGGTACATTCATTAGACATTGCGGGTTCCTGATGCACGTCATTTTATTTTTCAGATCGGATTCAAAATGGCTGTCTGGCGGCCATTTTGTTTTAATGAATGGGCCTCTAGAGCCATATCTCTTAAATGCTTTGACTGATTATATTCAAATTTTATATATTCGTTATACATCATGTTATATATATATACATGTATTCAAAATGGCTGATTTTGAATGCTGTTCCAGAGCAATATCTCTCAATATGGACAAGTACTTGTTTGAGGATCAGATACAAATGTCAATTATTTTAATGTTAAAAAAATCATATTCCTGACATGGTTATATTCCAGCTACAGTACTCATTCCGCTCAACCTCCCGCTTTTATCGCTTTTTTTCCGACCGCTTATCGCTTAATTTCCGACCGCTCGCTGCTTTCCGGCCGGAAACCGACCGTTTTTTTTCCGCTCGCTCGCGTTCGTTTTTGTTCGATCGCTCGCTCGTTCGCTTTTGTTCACTCGCTCGCTCGCTCCTGCTATGGCTGGCTTCAAAAACATCGTTCGCTTGCCAACCGACCGCTGGAGTAACAATGATCGTACATTGTATATATAAACTTAAGTTTTTATTCGTAATAAATTTAGGTTTTAATGACGATTCAAAACACAACGCCTATTGCTTCTCTGCGTTGGAACAAAGACGCCTTCAAATCACTTGACACATTGTAACGTTTGCTACGCAAGTCGAACCGTGACCTGTATTTACATATTTACGTCCTTGTGTGTGTAGTTCAACTATATAACTGGTCAATCGCGATATGTATTGAGTACTAGTATTTGTGTGTTGTGTGTGTGTTTCTGTGTGTGATTTTGACATAAATTTATTCCGAATGGCGCTCAAAATAATTTGACACTTTGTTATTTGCGAACGCAACTCACACTATGACCCTTACTCAATTTGCACAAGTAATACGAATG